TTGACACCAGAGGGGGTACGCAGGTAGCGTTGCAGCCTTGACATGTTCTGGAGTGTGTATCTTGGGCAGTGTGCACAGGTGCCTCAGGCGTGTACGCCGCAGAATTATGCTCAGCAAGGCTAACTGTAGACCCGTCGGCTCAAGCAGGCTCAAGGACAGCAGGCGCTCATAGGCATGCCCCCAAAATGTGCAGTGGCCGCATTGCCACCTCCGTGCGCCACTCTCTTGAACGGGATGGTCGAGATGAGCGTCGACATTAGTCTAGCAGGGCTGCAAGAGTACATCGAAAAACACGGCGTGGACAGGTTCATCAAATCCGCGTTTGAAGCTTACGGCCGCCAGCTTCGAAATTGGTGGCCGGACACGCTTTGTACGAGGTATAATGGTTTGCCGCGACCAGGAACGAACGACGATGGCAGGAGGCAGTGCCTGGTGACGTTCCTGATGGACCGTGCGTCGGGCGGGTTCCCCCGAGACGCCTCCGCTGATCAGCCGTGGGAGACGGGGGAAGATGACGACGGGCCGCCAGCGAAGGTTCCCAGTGCGCACGAGGCCGGCAGCTCGGGCGCTGACCCAGCGCCTCCTTCCGCAACGCACTGCGCGCATATACAAGCGACGCCCATGAAACCCGCGCCCGTGAAGTCCACGCCCGCGCAGGCTTTCACTCCGCAGCGGTCTCCAGCACTTCTGCTTGCTACCTCTGTTCGTTCCACAAGCACCCCTCGCGTTCAGCTCCCCCCTGAGCCGGCGGAGACGGACAGCCGTTGGGCAGGAGGACTTAGGTCGCAAGGCCGAGTTCCCAGCGCGATTTGTTCACACCTCTGGGTCGTCATAGGCCGACTCCCCAGCACAATTTGTTAGACGCCGAGTTTCCAGACGATTTGTTAGCCCGTCTGGGTCGTCATAGGCCGAGCTCCCAGCGCGATTGAGTAACACTTCGGGGTCGTCAGCGCGGCGCGCTGTCGCGGCGCGCTGTCGATGGGCGCGTTGCGCGCTGCAACGCTGGGTCGCCGAGGCGGCGTGGGAATGTTGTCGGCCTGGCGGGCTTGCAGAGCAGCCAGTCGGTTCGGTTGCTTGATGGCTGCCGCGGCGCATCGGAGACCTCGATACCAAATCGGGGCATCTTGGTCAGTGTATCAATGGCGAAGTGGAGAGGAGGAGGAAGAGGAGGAGGAGGAGGAGGAGGAGGAGGAAGCCATCATCACTCCAACCATCATATAAGTGTGTGGGGTTCCTCGGTATCGTAATTCTCGCTTCGCAGAATCGGAGGTGGACAGACCTCCTACCTGACACGTCGATCAGCGAATTGGCCGTTCTCGGTTCGCGAGGGGGCGCCGCGGTCGTCATTTCTGCGGGTCCAGGTCCGCCGGTCTCGGTCCCAGGCCGTTTTCACTAAGGGGAGCTTTGCTAAAAGGGAGGTTTGTCCACCGCCGAAAGAAGTCTTCCTTGGTCGCGGTTCTGGTTCCAGTTCCGGTTTCCTTTTCCTTCTGGCCTTGAAAAAGCCCCCCCTGGTCACGGTTCCGGTTCCGGTGTCCTTTTTCTTCTGGCCTTGAAAAAAGCCTCCTTGGTCACGGTTCCGGTTCCGGTGTCCTTTTTCTTCTGGCCTTGAAAAGGCCCCCCTGGTCACGGTTCTGGTTTTGTTTCTGGTTATGGTTCCGTTTTTTTTTTCTTTCGGTCTCGAAAAAGGCCCCCGTGGTCACGGTTCCGGTCTTGGTTTTGGCTCTGGTTATGTTTTTTCTTTTTTATCTGCAGGGCCCTGGTCACGGTTCCGGCTTTGGTTCCGGTTATTGTTCGGGTTTCTTGTTTTTCTTGGCCTCGAGGAAGACGGCCCCGCGGTCACGGTTCGGGTTTTTGGTTCCGGTCTCCTCCTTCGATGAAGACCTCCTTGGTCACGGTTCCGGTTCCAGTTTTTGGTTTGGTTCCGGTTTCCAGAAGACTCTTTTGGGTCACGATTTTGGTTTTGGTTCCAGTTTCGGTCAAGGTTTCTTTCTGTTGGTCTCTTCCAAGACCCAGTTGGTCACGGTTCACTTTATGGTTCCGTTTTCCATTCAAACCGATGTTGATGTTGATGATGACGATGACGATGACGACGATTATGATGGTGATGATAATGGTGATGGTGATGATGATGATGATGATGATGATGATGATGATGCTGATATTGTTTTGATGATGATGATCATTGCGAGCTTGCGGGGGCAAAGATGAAATGAGGACGACGCGGACGAGCAGAACACGGGCGAGGACGACGGGCATGGGGCAGGAGAAAACGATCAGGAGGAACATCAGGAGGAGGCGGGGGGTACAATTTGGAGGAGGAAGAGATGGGGTAGCAGGAGGGGAACGACACGACGGGGAGGGTCAAGAGAAGACGGAGAGGAGGCGGATTTGGAGGAGCAGTGGGAGGAGGTGAGCAAAACAAAAAAGTGGGAGGTGGTGGAGGAGACGGGAGGGCTTGACACGAAGCCGTAATGAGGAGGGTTAAAATGTGGGGCTCTGG